ATATATATATATAAATCTCCTTTCAGAAAGCAAATTAAAGTATTAATTAATGAAAGTCTATAAAATTATTAATTATCTCAAAGGAAGAATTAATTTTATTGGTTTTTCATGGAAAATTACCTTTATTATGTATCGATAATTTTAATAGTGTTTCAAAATGCTGATCCTTTATTACTAATGTAGCAATCTGCTTGGATAAGGATCGATTTAATATATACGAATCACAGAAAAAAAATTATAATAAATTAAGAGCACAGATAAGAAAGGAAGATAAAAAAGATCAGCTATGGTGAAGGTCGGAAATTGCCGTAAATTTCTTCGGTCCAAACGTCCGATTGAATTTGTCTGCGGGAAATCGAGAAATTAAAGATGAATGGAGGTAGGAGTAACCTCGGCCGAAGGAAGTGATCTCGTCGTGGCCTCGCCGTCGTCGCGAAAATTTTATTACAAAAGCTCGAGAAATTAACTTCTCCATCGGTATCGTTACGTCGCCCGCTCGCGCGGTGGCTCGGGCAATGCCATTATTAACTTCGGAATAAGAGCTACTCTCACCGCGTCTCTACTCGTTACGGTATAAAGTGCAGCTGGCTGGGAGAAGTTAACTGTAGCATCTCGAATTATTTAACGCGAGTCGAAACTTGAGGGTATTCCAGTACTGCTGCTCGAATCGACCGAATGAGATCCGCGAATCAGACGAAACTCCCGGCACGAGACACTGCGAGAATAATTAAAGCTTCACGAATGATAACGTAGAATTGAGAGAAGAGACGGTTCAGATAGGTGCAAGAAAAAAACAGCGGAAAAAGAGAGAAAGAGATGTGTGTGTGTGTGTGTGTGTGTGTGTGTGTGTGTGTGTGTGTGTGTGTGTGTGTGTGTGTGTGAAGAGGGGGGGAGAGAAGAGCAGAATTTGCAGGCTCTGAATGGGAAAACTTGTCGAATTAATCGCCTGACTAATTTGGTGCGTAAACCGATCGATGATACATTCCGATTATTAAACCATCTACATGCCATCACTTGCGAGTGGCTCTAATTAGTCTGCTCCCTTCGCCTCTCCACTGCATAACACGTGCTGTACCATGTTATAAGCCGTACAACATAGATGTACATGTTAGTGCATTGAGTGCATCTTCCAATGTCAGAATATGTCTGTCATGGTATAATCTGTAAACGAGTTGATGAAGATTAAATTTATCAAAGACTCTAAATGACTTTTTCCGTTACGCATATCACACTTGCTGTGTTCTAAAATAAATTACTCTAAAAAATTTTTTAAGAGTAATCTGTAATGATGACAATGTGTAAATCAAATTCTTATTTATCTCATTTCACAATAATTTCATTTTTTTCGTTAATAATTTAATGTAATTTAATGTAATTTCACAATAATTTCATTTTTTCGTTAATAATTTAATGTAATTTAATTTTAATTTTATTTTAATTAATATCTTATATTGTGCATACAGAAGTAAATAGATAATTATTTTATTTTTATAAGTATATATTTTGAGATTCTGTACAAACGAAAAATATAAACAATATATATTTATTCCCGTTTAGAAAATGGAGTTCCATTTGGAAAATATTTGTGAATACTGTGTTCAATAAGATAGATTGAACCAGGCCATATAGTCATTTACTGCTGCGTTGTGTAAGCCGGTAATAACATCTTATACGCAGATGGTATTTACACTCAACTATTAATTGGCTGTTTCAGTAAAATGTGGTGGTATTATACGAACGTGACCGTTACCAATGATCATTTCACGGGCAAGTAGATAAGAGCTAGTTATGGTCCGCCAGCGCCAAAGTCGGGTCGAATTACAGTTGTATGGATAGCGGTTCTACCCATTACCGAGATGGGCATTATGTTAGATAAAATTCGCAGGATTAAAATTACCTCGGCCGCGTTTTTATTAACTGTTTTATTAACTTTTACTTTATCGCCGGATAGCGCGTGGTTAAAGAAAACAAGAGGAGGCATGTGAAAACGAAATAATACGACAAAGGTATTATTCAACGATGCGAAACTTTCATCGACATCGCGTTGATTCTTGGACACGGGCATGTCCGGCTACCAAATAAAAAAATGGTCTAACAACAACAAATGGGGTATACAATGATAAAAAAAAGCAAATAAGAATAACAGATGCACGGCACGGAAAAACACATGGGACGGGAAAAGGGAGAGGGGGGGGACCAACAAAGCTGGACGAGAGAAAGAATCGAGATCCGCCGTGGCAACAATGTGGCGAGACGTGGACGAAATAAAAATATGAGCTATCAGAGCGGCGCCATTTCGCACTGCGCCCGGGAGATTAAGCGGGAGGCTTAATACGAGATAGCTCTAAATGCTCCACGGTCCATGCTGGATGCGAATGCGATTGCTACCTTGTAACGTAATAAATTCTCGCGTTTAACTCGCAGTTTTGCGGATGCATGAACGAGGCTCTTGCTTACCTTGAAGAGGATCGAGATGCCCAAATTCATGAACGGCTTCGTGAAGTCGATCACGCTCTCGCGCGCGTAGTTGATCGTCATTGAGCCGACGGCGAGATCAGCCTTCTGCGAAATAATAAGAGAGAAAGCAATAAAGGATACCGTCTGTTAAGAGTCGGAGACGCGAATTCTAATTTATTTCCCGCCAAGGCGCACGTTCGGTGCGGTGGAAGTCGAGCCGCCTTCGATTCGTCCACTTGGTCGCGTTCGGCAGGTGCTCGAGATTATTTAGACACGCGCGCCGATGGCGAATAGCTGACTTCGCAATAGCGACGAGCAAAATGCTGGAATCTCCGATTCCAATGAAGCCACCTGAAGAAACGAACTCAACGTGCGTACTTTTGCCGCGCCCATATCTAAATGCTTCTTCAGCGTCTGCGAGAGCACTCGTTGGCGCGCGATGGCGCGCAGTCACCGGGAGGCGACAGTCCGCCGAGATTTATTTCCGGCTGGCGCTGCACACGGGAGAGCGCGGATATCTGGCTGGAAATGCGCCCGATAGGGAAATCCCTTGTCTTTTCCCTCGTCGTGCATCCGCCCGTGCTTTTCGTCTCTGTGCACACAGTTACGGCGTTACAAATTTTCTGTAAGCGCGCTATGCATAAGCGTGTACGTTACACGAGATTTCTATTGCCCGATACGGGAGAAACGCATTCATACTCTTGTCAATACTTATTCCTCGTACTCGTAAATGCCGTAAGATTATATCGCGGTATGTATACGACGTGTAATATTTGTTTTACGTTTTACATATATTTAGTCCAGAAAATTATAAGACATAGGATTTCATGGTAAATTTTCATCGAACAATATACATTGTAATATCTTTTGTATTCCTCCCTTGTTCTTCAGATATATCTGTTGTAATTGAAAAAAAAAATAAAATTATGTTAGCGAGTTTTTTTCAGGTAATGATCTTTGAATATTTATCTCATAATTCGAATAAATTTAATTTTCCGTGTAGTCAACACGGTGAATGACCTCGCGCTCGCTGATTGTGAATGGAAAGCAATATTATATTTATTGATTCGCACAATATGACATAATAATGTGCAATTTCACTTTTATCCTTTTATGCAAAAACTCGATACTCTGTTTACGTATTACTGTGTATTACGGGCGTCGATAGTTGAATCGTGAATGGGATATGCTCGGCGATAGATCTCTCGTACGATGGACAGTCGAAATGGTCGACATCGACGTCGCATAAAACGATACCAGTTCATCCCAGTGAAAGATATTTCGGACTGGCGGCGTCACTAATTCGCGTGTGATTTACGCCGCGCCCGGTGCGACCCGGCTAGATGACGGTCGCAATAATTTGTTGTTGCGTGTTCTCGCTCGATGACAGCATGGCGCCATTGCGGACTCGCGATGCATCGTGCCGTCAATCGTTTATGAATGTACGAGCGATGCTGTTTTCACGCATCGCACATGTCGAAGATAACGCGAATACGAGAAGCGATTTAAAGCTGCAAGCGGAGATAATGTACCGGAAAAAGGGCGATATCAATTTTACAGAATTTTACAGGACATTTTAGGATTACGAACGCAAAAGCGATACTATATTTGTATTATTTATTTAATTACTTTTGTTGAAAATTGCTTTTGTCGATTAATAATTTGTATGACGGCGGTGATACATTGCGAGTGAGCTTCGTTTTTCATTTCATTCATTCATTTTTGAGCCGCGTTACCTTTTCCCGTGTAGCCGACAAACGATAGCCCATTTATCAACGTATTCAGATAAAAATGAAATATCGATATATCATTCTTTTCAAAAGAATCCACGCGAGGGAAATTAATATCGCGTGTAACATTTTGCATATTTTGTGTATCAACGAATACTCCAAAACTTGTTGCGTTAAATTGCAAATTAGCAATATACATAAGAAATTTACCGTAAAATAATATTTCCATTTGGAAGAAATTGATAATAATTTTGAAAATAAAACCACTCGCTCAAATACAAATGTTTGGAGAAAAACAAAAAACTCAGTATAGCGTAAGAGAATTTAAATACATATTATATTAATTAAAACATCGCTAATTAAATGTTGCCCTGCTCACTTTAACATTCGTCACTTTAACATTTTTCAGGGGAATGTTTCACCTGGGCAAAGGAAAGATCCGCTTAATTATGCATAAGTCACTTTCTAAAATAAGATGCCGTTTCTAGGCGTATTATATGCATTTTTTTTATCATCATTTTTCCGTCCTCGGTTTCGCCATCGGACTCACGACGACTCACGGCGAGGCGAGCATTATTAATGATCATCTGACAAAATTAATACTGCCGTCCAGATAACATAGTGCCGGTCGCTTTGTAACGTCCACCAGTCTGTGGGTCCCGACGAAAATGAGAAATTTCGTGGATTCCCATATCCCGTATCCTCATAATTCCATAATTTCGACCCATATGTGCGCACGATATTTATATCTTCGTTATCATACCGTTGATTGCTATGTTTAATGCAATCAGACTCCGAGATATTAGGTCATTAATAACCATAACTTTCCTGAAATTATACGATTATTTCATCGGCGTCGACACCTTGGTTCTCGAGCCAGCATCTTCTTTAATCTTACTTAGTATCATTTCGTTAAATTAAATGATCATTTTGAACGATTTAAGCGCCGCGTATCTTTATCCGTTTAATAATAATGAGAATTTTTCTTCTCGTCGAATGACATTAAAAATGTGAAATTAATTGTTTCTATATAGAAGCGTGATTTCTGCTATATACACATACGCGCAGGGATTATACATTATTCATCGTGATAAAAGCGCGCCCTTGTGTTTCTCAGTAACTGGACATCCAATCCCGAAGTTCAGGATTTATAGCAAAAGTAATTCTGGAATATAGATATCGCTGCTAGGTACATGGCTCGCTACATCCTACTTAGAGTTCTCCCAAAAACCGGTCTGCCTTTAAGAAATATACCGTGGAAAAAATGCGCGCATTTTCCAACGAGAAGCGGGCTCTCCTCAGTCTTTCCTTCAAAAGAGAAATTCGCATCTGTAAAGCACAAAGACCCATTTGCAAATAACAGATTGCATCAAGCCTTAAGAGAATTCATTAATAATCGCAGTTTTGATCAAAATATTTTAGGACATCAAAGATCTTGGGACAATCACAAGTATACGAAAGCGGCTCAAATTCTACATTTTTTTACTGGTGCAACTAATGCATTAGGCTACCGTGATCGCTGTAATGCGGCTGTGTACCTACGACGACATACTGAAAGTGCGCTTAAAAGCTCTGGCTTCGGTACGAGGATTAGCCGTGTAACTTCGGGGTCTCTTTTACGCGGCGCTATCTTTGCACCGGCGGCGTATGCGACACGAGGCGTATGCGGTTGACACCGTTATCACGGCGTCGCGCACAGTTACCGTTGCATCTGCTACAAACGTCAGCGGGATATTGAAATTTGGTAGGACGGAATTGCGCGCGTATGTGGCACTTAATCAATCGCCCGCGCGCGCTGTACCTACTCGAAATGTAGACGTAGCGAATGGGCGACGACGCAGCAATACGCGGGCTAGTTTCACGCTTTCCTAGATAGAAACGCGGGTGTCGCCCGTATACACGAGCGCCCCCTCCCCTCCCCTCCCCCTCCGTTTCTCGCATCTGTTCGCGATTTGAATTGCAAAAGCCGAGCAGCATTCGGCGCGTCTAAGCCTACGCGCGTTTAGCATCAAGTGCACGGGCGGTGATTCGATCGCCAGCAAAATGGCGCGGTTTCTAATATATCGCGGCACATTCCGCCGTGTCGTTCGTAGATAATCCCTACGGGTATGGTCATCAATTTACATGATTAATGCGCGCCTACACACGTAGGGGTGTTACCGATACGAACGATTGATCCTTTGACCCAATTCAAAATCGGCGCGATAATTCGTACGATAAAAGGAGAGCAGCGATCAAATTTGGTGCGGTATGATCTCTTAAGATTTCTTGGCGGGATAACGCCTGTACGAACAATACGTTACCCATATCCTCGAGAATCACATTTCCTCGCAAACGTCGATACTTGCGCTCTATCTCTGTTGAAATTCGCTCGACTATTTTTGTCACGTCTATCACCGACTATCAAACTGTCTCACCGCGCCGGGACTTTATAGTCAACAACCTCAAGATAATACAGCAGACTGCTAAATATACTGCTTCCGTAACATATAAATTATACCGCCATGTATATACGTTTCAGCTGATATCCCTCCTACTACAAAAGTCTCTCTTGATCTCGTCGTCACAAGAATCACGCACACACGAGTGCGTTAATAGTAAATTATAAGATAACAAGGAGCCTGACATAAAAGGCTTGTAAAATCGATTATTATCAATTTCAAAAAGAGAATGTACATATACATAATTATAATATTATAATTTCCAATAAGTCATAAAAAAAATCATAGAAAAGTTGACAGATGAAAAAGTTTCCTCGGTACTGATAAGCTGCAAACATCTTCGCGCTAATTGGAGTCTGTTACGGATGCACATACGGACGCGCGCGCGCGCGCGCGCGCACGCACACACACACACACACACACACACACACACACACACACACACACACACACACACACACACACACACACACAGACGGCATCTCGCATCTCACCTTATCCATCAGCTGGCGAACTATTCCGTTCCATTCGCCGGTCTCGTAATCATAAGCGCCATACTTGCCATCCGGCACGAGCTCGATCCTGTAGGTGAAGCCCACCATGTGCGCTATCTCCTTCAGCAGGTCGATGCAGAAGCCCTCGTAACGCGCGTTTCCGCTGAAATTCTCCCCACTCTTCAGCATTACATACGGCTGCTCCTACGGGGATCATAAAAAGGAGCTGCCGTCTTTCGTATCTTTGGTATCCCTCGCAGGATTTCGCCCTTGCGAACTCCTCTCTTACTTTCTCCTCGTTTCTTATCTTTACATTCGTTCGTCTCCGGTCGCCGGTTTTCCCGCCCAGTTTGTTACTCTACATCTTTTTCGCAGGATGCTAGAATCGAGCCGGATCTATCGATATGGTCGGCGACAAGGTCCCGCGAAACGATAAAACGATAAGATGTGCGTTGGTCGTGGGAATTTTATACGAGCTAGCAGTAAATTTTTTCTTTTTCCGTCTCCCGAATGAGAGTCACGCGTGGAGATCAAGTTTTTACGACTTCAGCTTGAATTCGAAGGGCTTAGGGAAATTTCAGTGGGACGATTTGCTCCTCTCTATCGAGAGATGCGCGCTGCGCGCTGCTTTGATTGAAGAGTAATAGATAGACGCGTTTCGTTACAATTAAAGAAATACTCGACTGATAACTGCACTAGTCTATTCGTTCATATTAATTTCAATTAATAAATTAAATGAGCTAAAAATATTTAAAAATATAATATAAATTAGATTCTTAGATTCTTTGCTCGTAAGTGGCGCGTAATGTTGGCTAAAGTATCATATCCTTCGCCAAATCTGAAACCGTATCTATGAATTTCGTGTGCGAAAAGTGACATCGCTGTCCTCGCCAAAGATCTCCGGAGTGCAATAACGGATCATGCATCTTCGTAACGGCGTGGACAGCTTTAATTGGTATTTACGACGGCATGCCGGATATGCTCCGGTCTGGCACTTGCCCTGACGCGCGCATTCGATGGCTCTCTCTATGCTGATTACCAGCTAAATGGATTACTCTTCGATAGACTATTACGTCGAACATTCCCACGAGATGCGTTCTGCAAGCGTAACTGCGTATCGTAGGCCTCAGGTGCAAGAGCGCCGATTAACGTGCGTGATGTTGCGTCAGCTAAACGGTAGCTAACCAAATGAATCTTGCGTGTGATTAATACTGTCTTACTTTATTTATTACAAAAAAGTTTGAATTATTCTGTGATAAATCACTCAATTTTTTTATTCATGCTAAGTACAATCGATGTGGAAATGAAAAAAATTTTAAATAGCTGACATTTTTTTCATCAAGTTAATACGATACACAAATTTTGACATTTTTTTATTTTATCATCTAATTTTTTCATAATAAACAATAATTAAATAGTAAATAATTTTCCTTGTGTCACTCATAGTGCATAGTAACAAATCTCCCATGTCCGATATTATTTTAAAAACCCAAAGAAATTTTTATTAAATGTAGCATATATATCTTACGTGCAAGAATGATAATTATGATAAATATATCTGATAAAATATTAATATTAATAAATGATTCGTGTTGGAGTGACGCCGACGAATATAGAGCAACGAAAACGCGAACAATTATTCAGATAGAATTTCGATAATTGCACATGTACGGGAGAGACAAACGTACAACGAGTGAAAGTTTTCGTTCTATCTGGCAAATATTATCCCCTCGCAATGAACGAGTAGAAATCTAGACAAAAAGATTCCCTCTCCCTTCTCTAGTTGCGAGCCTTATCGTGCGCTTACCGTATATTCAGATGTGGAGAGTCGGAGTCGGTCTAGCGCGCGCGCGGGATCTAGATTTAAATTTAAATTCAAATCGGCTTCTTGAAATGCAATAAAGTAGCTTCACTTCATGAAGCTTTCCGCCATTCTAGATGAAAATGGGGTCGGCGACTGTGCCGTGGCGGAAATGTGAGAGATTTAATTACAGAGTACGTCGAGCGGATTTGATATTTACGAGCCACATATGAGAATTTCGACCGGATTCGCAGCGTAGTGTCTATACAGAGGACACATTTAGCACGCATTACTTAAGCCGCGTCGAAAATATTAAAAAAAAAAACATAGTGAAAAAGAGCCTGTTAATCCGCACATGTACGGACATTTTATAATATTTTAAATTGTTAATGTTTTTATCTTTGTTATATAATATTATTATCCTTTTGACACGGAATTCAGAGGAAAGACGCAAGAGCGTACGTATTTCATTCGTGTATGCATTCTGTTTGAGGTTTTACATTCGTTTCTAAAAAAATTGTTATGCATATGTACGTATACATATGCATGGAAAGAGCTTGAAAATTCAAACGTAAGATTTAATCCAAATAAGCTGCGCAAATGCGCGGACGAAAACAAAGATGAAAAATTAGCATACATAGTTAAGAGTAAAAGCTTTAGTGAGAGAAATTATTTCTTACGGGATGAAAGTCGCGCGACAAATATTTATCATAAATTTCGATTTGTAGAGAATACAAAAGTCCCGCATAAAACGGAGAACTAACTTGACTTATCATATACGTAAATTAAGAGAAGACGGATTAAACGTTCGGCGCTTTCATGAATAATTACTTAATATGGCACACTCTTGTGAGCGCAGAGTGCTAAAGTCCGTACACGCAATCTAGAAGACAGAAGATGAGATATAAAATTAATTTAAGCCAACTTAATGGAGGCTATAAGGCCACTTTTAACTCTCCTTTGAATAATACATGAGTCTCTTGAATAGAGCGAAAAAGTACGTGAAGCATGAAACCGTAAGAGTGTGAAAAACTTAACGAGAAAAGGGCCCGGCAAATTTTAACACACCGGCAGATATAAAAAGAAACATAATGCACGCATGCAAATATTATACAAACATAAAACTATTAAAGATTCGTAATCGCAAAACTTTTGTATTTATAAAAAATAAGTAATTGAAGTTCTTAATTAACAGAATCTGTAAGTATATGAATCTTATAAATAATTTTATATTGTTTCGATAGGCATATAAAAAGAAATTATAAATTTATGTAACAAAAAAATAAAAATTGTGATTGAAACTGTTACCATTCTCTTTTTTTCTAATTAAACATGTTTTGGTAAACATTTTCATTATAATATTATATAATATTATAAAATTTATAAAATATACTATTAATTTATATGTATAGGAATGTATTCGCGTCTGTTTTTATGAAAATATAATTGCGCTCGTTATTAATAAGTACCATTTTATATTTATTACACATTTCATCTACTATTTTTTTAATTAAAGAAAAATCTGTGATATGCAGAAAATATTGACTATATGTCAATTTCCGTATTTAAATTGAGAAATTTTGTGCAATTTTTAATTTTAAATAATTATAAATATATATATAAATGGATAAGTTATTTGACATTGACAATACAGTATTTTTCTTGGCTGAAATAACTAATTAACTTTACAGAAAAAAATTTTTACTCACAGTTAAATTATTTATAATGTTATTAAATACAATAAATGATTATTATTGAAAGAATATCTCATGACTTGAAAATATATAAAATTAATATTAATTAAATAATCTATTTCATTTAAGCTATTATTTTTGTCTCTCATGCTGTCGAACAACTTATTGGAAAAATAAGAATAAACAATATTGGTGAAAATAAATATTATTTTGAATTTTCTTTTATAATAATTCCATACAAATATTATGTCATTGATTATACATACAATTGATAAAAAAAATGAATGATCAAATGCTGATTAAAACTAATATAATTTACACATGGCTGACGAATCTCTGTGATACCGTGATTCTATGGTGTTTACACTAAGCAGCGTAATCAATAACTTGCTATAATCATTGATCAATTTACGATCTTATTTCATGTCGATTGGCATTTGTGAATTGTCAATGCCACGTGCATTACGACGTGCATTGTGATTTATCTTTACAAGCGCAGCTCCTTGTTCCACATAGTAGACACCAGAATAATTAATCATAATTAGTTATTCGGGAAATAGATTCAACTGGTAAAGTATAATCAAATTATTGCCGCAAACAAGACCGTAATCAAGTCCGGAATATTAAATTCAAACAAAATACAGGATTATAGGAGGATGGGATAACTTTATTATTCACGTTTATATATTTACACGCTTTTACAAACAATAAACTAATACTGTTTATACTTCTACCGTTAATGCGATTATATATCGAATCGTCAAGCCATTAACGAGATATTATTTAACGAGGGAACAAAAAAGTAGTGCAGCCTCATATTGATCAGCCATGGCATATCGGCAAGCTACGCAACTGCGTTCGACAATTGCGTATTATCAACAATCATTATAGAAAACTACTTTACTCCGAGGTATACGTAATTTCAGATAACAAAATAAACACTTCTCGATTATCTAATACTTCTTGATTGATAATCTAAGTCAGTTCAACGTAACGTTTTCTCCAGTGATTTTCTAGCGATACGTGGAGCGAATATTCGGGATAGGGTTGTGCTGTACCACATAGACAGAGATGTGAGAAGTGAAACAAACAAACCAAATCATACATGTCGCATGAGCTCCCGGACGATGCCGTTCCACTCGCCAGTCTCCGGATCTCGCGCGCCGTACTTCCTGTCCGGCACCAGCTCCAATCGGTACGAGAAACCCACCTCCCTCGCCACCGCCGCTAGGAGATCCACGCAAAAGCCATAAAACCGCGAATTTCCGGTGTAGTTCTTTCCGTGGTGCATCATCACGTACGGCGTCTCCTGCCGGCGTCCGATGCCGAACGAACGGGATTCATGCAAGAATAACGGAAAACGTTTTGAGACCGCCGCGGCGTAACGCGAATTTATGACGAGACACGTTGGCGCCGACCATATCGGGGGGGGGGGGGGACTTTCAACGGCTATCGCGCGTTTCTCGTTCGGCTTGCTGTTCCAAAATGGGAGGTACAACCACCGTGCCGGAGTTGAAACAGTAAAACAGCCGGCGACATTACGTATGCGACAATTTAGCTCGCCTTGCGTATATCTTCTCTTTTTCTTTCTTTTTTAAACAGCAGAAGTTATTATGAATATATTTGAATATATTCCTTTTAGCTGTGTCGCACGTAATCTTATGAGAGGATGTACGTAGATTTATATAAAGATATAAAAACCTTTCTGAGAAGAATATTAACTTTTTTTGTTACATAATTTTTAAACTCTAAGCTAATAACAGAACTATTGAACAACATATGGATTTGCCGACGATAACTCACCAGTATAGTGATCACGATCAACGTTACGTTTCCAATGCTAGGCTCGAAAAAGGCCGCAGTGTCTGTGACGTTGACGCCGGCGCCGGGACGCCACTCACCGACCTAGTTTCGCATTTATTTTATGTATTGTATATATATCCATTTGACATTCGTATCTCTCTTTTAACACGCTTCCCGTTTTGCTTACAATAAGTCACGACATACCTTGACGAGCGAGTGTTGTTTCAGTTTCAACAGATCCAATTTAAACTGAATTCTGCGGCCTTCTTTAAATTCAATAGGTCCGGAGAGCCCTTTCATCTCCACCTGCAACAAAAACCGTTGCGGATTCGCGTTCGTGAAAGTGCACTTTATGTTACATACATGAGTTCGTCAATCTTATTCTGCGCTAGACGCGACGGCATGTTCAGATTGAACTTGAAATAGCAGCTTTATTAAGCATAGATGTGTAATATTCCACAAACAATTTCCACGAACAATGAGATTATATCAATTATCCTCACTTATTCGGCTTCACTATGCTAATAAACTTCGATTTAGATGTCGCAATTTAAAATTCAAGTGTAACAACACAAAAACACCTTTTAAGGACAAATTAGAAGGAAGAATCATAAATTTTTCTGATATCGCCATCGTAAGATGTTTAAAATAAGAGATTTGATTGTATGCTATTATAATACAGCGATTTAACTCAGACTAGACGGAGAGTTTCTTGCACGCTTCATGTAAACTGCGAACTACATTAAAATGCGATGCAAGACGGATGAGCATCGCGAGCATAAATCTTTCAATCCCTACGCGCATCAGCGCATCTTTCAACGCGAAGACAAAACTCATAGTGTAGTAGTTTGGCTGACGACTAACGGTCGTATTACCGGCTCAGAAATTTCCTGAGTAGCCTTAAAAATTTTCGCACTTAGGAAGTCGTTATCGCTTACGTGAGTATAAATCTGGTAAAGTCGTTAAAGCTCTTTCTCAAAGATCTCGTGTTGCTCGCATTCTACTTGGAGAAGGGCAGCGTATTCGTCGGCTTTCGGTAAAATGCCATGGAAATCTGTGAGGCCATAGATGATTTAGCGATATTAAGAAAATGACAGGATATCGGCGGAGAAAATAGAATAAATGGACACGTATCGTCTTGGAGAAGATCATAGTGCGCATAAATTTCAAAAAGATCACCAAAGTTGAACATCTTTCACGATCGATAGTTTTGCATCAAAGTTTGAAATGAATACACATTGTAATAGCAAATCAAATATCGTTAAAGAAAAAAATCGCATAATTTCCACGAAATAGAAAGGATTAATTATCTACTTGATAATAGATATTAAAAGTTAGAATAATTTTTATATAAAGCGCTGATTTTATATTACAATTAATTTATGTACAATGCTTTTTAATATTTAAGATATAAAATTTATAATATAAAATTCAATCATATTTTTTTATATAGTATAATATTTTAAATTCGTATATCTTCTGTAAAATAACTTTTATTAACTTATTTCTTGTAACACTGAAAAAATTACGATTGTTATGTAACAATATATAGAACAATACATGTAACAATATATAGAAATATGGTCGAATTTATATTTATATTTTGTTTTTTTTATTTTTACTATATTTAATATATATATCGGTTATATTTAATATAACCGATATAATTGCTACATCACGCAGAATTATGAATTTTGATTATAAATTGCAGAAGAACACATAAATTTTGATTTAAAAAAAGAAAATAAAAAATGAATGACAAATATGAGTAATTTATGTATTATGTATGTGATTTGCGAGTAAAACCGTGACAAAACAAAATAAAGAATATTCAATTGAATTGAATTCACTTCGTGATACAAAAGTGGAAGAATAATAAGAATACATGAAGTTAAAATATACTTTGCAAAAATAAAAATATGTAATTAATAAAACATTAAAAAGTATATAAGTAGGAGAGAGAGTAAAGAGTCTTTCGAGACGTTTCATTTTAATGGGATAATGCAAAGATAGAATCCATAAAAATGGAAAATGAAAAATGAGATAAAAGAAGAAGTACAGAGTAAATGTGAACTTAATGTTTGATTATTTCATTAAGCGGCAGATTTCAAGAGAGAATTCGTGATTTCTCATTCCGATTGCAACACAATGCTTCCACGTTCTTCTCAAAAGAATACAAAAAGAAATACTATAGTATAACATTCAGTTTCTTAATATAAAACCATTAATGAGATTCTCTAGATCATGTCATCTTGGCTGACTTAACAGTTTCGCAATGTATAATACTGAAACGACGTATAGCATGTAGTCGCACCACATTTATCTTGACCATATACTTTTACGTTAGTTTTATATTTTTCATGAATGTAGCCGAGCTGACTGTCCCCCAGATTTTTCGTCAGCGCGTAACCATAAAGTGTGAAATTAACGTATGAAAAGCGACATTGTACTGAATTAGCAACATCGCATGTTTTAAATATATTACACTGGTACTCTCATATAATATTCATAACATGTAAATTATGCTATTGCATAAATGAATGTAAATGTAAAATGTTATGACAGTTCGCAAACCGCGAACTACTAAATACCGCTTCATGCGCATTTAAACGCATTTTGCAATAAATTAATAAAATAAATAATATAGTGATATTTATCTATGTATACACATCAACTTTTCACATTTTATTATCTAAAATTAAACTTATGTCGCATAAATAGAAAAGCTTGACAAAGTTGGTTACGAATTTAACATTTTTATTTGTACGCGCATGTTTAGCGGAGCAATTTTCTTTCTATATTTGAAACTTTGATTCTTTGCTAATAAAGGATAAAGAGATCTATTGGCAAAATAAAAAAAAAAGGAAAATCACGATCCTTTGATCATTTAAATATTTGTAAGCATAGCGATGATATATTTTCCATTTTTTTATACAAAATGCAGCCACATTTTATTTTAAATTTGTTACCGAAATGATACTATAAACAGAACAAGAAAAATATCATAAAATCTATGTAATTATACACATAGCATAATTAAAACATGATTGCGAATGTGTTTTAGCGTTACAACCTAACTTATTCTACCAATCTGCAAATTGTTATTTGTTAAATATTAAATGACAATATAAATAAAAATAAAATATTCGAAATTGTTTTTTCAGAAATTGTTAGACTCTTATTTGCCCATACGTACAACTTCCTGTAGTTTCAATAAATAGTCGTAAAATTTTCAGCTGACAGGTTCAATTCTCTTTATTACACCGATCAAAATTCAGGTGCGAGGTCCGCCGGAATGAACGATCGGTAAATTTAGCGCGATATTCTCAGCCGCTATTCGGCAATTTCGTTCCCGCGGCGGGTCTAATTAGAGCCAAAGCGGAAGTTACCACGGATTGTCGAGCGTGACTTAAATCCAAAAGTGTCTCCCCTTCGCGATGATTTTCCACCACGGTGAAAACATCGCGGAGTAAAGGCGACGACGGTCCCTCGCCGGAGCATCGGGATAATTGTAAATTGTTATTACGGGAGCACTCCTTTTGTCCGCGAGAAAATTCCCTTTCACAAACGGACGTGGCGCGACGACACGACGACGACGACGACGACGACGACGACGACGACGACGACGACGACGACAACGACGACGACTACGACTTTTATCATTGTGTCCTTTTCGCGAGTCTCGCGTCGTGTCGCGTATATCCTGACCACGCGAGCGGAATATGAGAAGCCGTCTTAAAAGCGAAACGCGTCGCACCGGCACGAATCTTGTGGCACATTTTGGCCCCATATATAGAGCGCGTGATGGCGCAACCGGCAAACAGATCTTATATCACGTGGCAAAAGCGGAAATACTATTCAGTAAAATCAGGAGGGCACAAAGGAATTTGATATATCTTATACCTCGGAAATTCTATTCAAACGATAGTAGTAGGTTATACCGAGACACGTTTCGTTTTTTAAACACGCGTAGCCGTGTGACTGACATTAGATAATTAATGAACGTGTTGGCGAGCGAGTGTAATTAATTATTGTATATCTCTTGTATATCTCGATTCTTTTGTGTTGCAATTCATTGCGCAATAGTTGCAGATTCGCACGAATGGGTGGAACAATCCCATTAGTAAATTATTCGCGGCTGAACTTTGTTGCTCCACAACGAAGTTATTGCCGAATGAGCGGAAACGCTACGCGATACATTTTCGAAGCAATCAGTAACCGTAGTATGCTTTACGTGTATGCGCATATGTGTAATTGTCGATACTATGCTTAACTTCATTTGATTTATGCATTTACTTTCGTGACGGAAATGAATTAAATTTTCACTAAAATTTCGTTTTAAAAATCAAGTTTGGCAAAAAAAAATCTATTCTCATAGATTATGATAAGAATAAAAAGTAGCAAGAAAGAGAAATAATAATATAGAGAAGAACTGGCTTGAAGTTGCAGTTGAAGCTGCAGTTAGTAAAGCCTGTATAAATGATTTTTCCTCGTCGATATCACATCGACAGGTTGAACTCTCTCGCTGGCGCCGTAAAAAAGTCACGATTCTGTAGAAAGTCGCTTATTTTTCTTTCGAGTGGAGGAATTTTTTCTTTCTGATCAGAGATGGAATACGTGTATATGTGATAATACAAGGTATCGCAGCGATAGTGTAATTTAATAATACGATCGACACGGAAAATTATTATACTATATATGAACAGTGACAACGATATAATACAATCAAGGCTATAAAGTACAATCAAATTCAATTATTTAAATTTATCTAGACATTATATTATAAATTTTCATGCAAATTTTGATATATTAGACACAATCAATTATAACTTTATTGTTAGCAGAATAATATTAATGATATAAAAATTATATATATATATAGTATATA